TTTTTTTTTTTTTTTTTTTTTTTTTTTGAAAAAATGTCTTTAAACTTTCGATTGTGTCCCAATTCTATAGTACGTGAATATAAAAAATTCAAGAATCTATCGAACATGAAATTAATATAACCTAACCTACATATACTTATAAAAAAAATTATCACATAACAATTAAGTTGGACAACCCAACCGATGTAGAATTATCATTCATCAACAGTTGGGACATGAACAGTCCAAAGAAGCTTCTTATTACACACTGAAAAGAGAGAAACAGGTCTAAAAAAATGATGATATTAATAATTAAAGCCTCCCTCCATCAATGGAGACATTTAAAAATAATACAATTTTTTTAGTAGTTCTCATCATAAATAAAGTAATGAAGAAACCCAGATGGATACTAACTCTAAAGTATGTTATGTATTCTTCAAATATGAAAATTTTATTTTTCCTCAAATGCCAGGTTGAATATCTGGCTGTACTCATCCACAAAATGAACCTCAAGACCTTCTTTCACATTTGAAGCAAGCTCATCGAAGTCCCTCCTGTTTGCTGAAGGGAATATTATTGTCTTTACCCCACTTCTTCTTGCAGCTATTGTTTTCTCCTTCACCTGTAAGAACAGCATAGGAGAGGATAAGCAATTTGAATAATACGATAAACGATCGAAACCGACGAAATGGACTTAAAACCAAACCGATATTGACAAAATTTGTCTAGCTCGAACTGATGGACTGCTTTTGTTGAGGATTGTTGGGAGGGGGTCTCTCGTTGGCTAAGTTAGGAAATGATCATGGGTTTATAAGTATGGAATACATCTCCATTGGTACGAGGCCTTTTGGAGAAATCCAAAGCAAAGCCATGAGAGCTGATGCTCATACTACTGTGGAGACTCGTGATTCCTAACATGGTATCAGAGTTAATGCCTTTAACTTAGCCATGTCAACAGAATCCTCAAGTATCAACAAAAAAAATTGTGAGCCTCGAAGGTGTAGTCAAAAGTGACTCAAGTGTCGAACAAAAAAGTTGTGAGCCTCAAAGGTGTAATCAAAAGTGACTCAAGTGTTAAACAAAGGGTGTACTTTGTTTGAAGGCTCCAGAGAAGGAGTCAAGCCTCGATTAAGAGGAGGCTGTTCGAGGGCTTCATAGGACTCGGGGGAGGCTCTATAATATACTTTGTTCTAGGGGAGGACTGTTGAGGATTGTTGGGAGAGAGTCCCACGGACTGATTTAGGGAATGATCATGGGTTTATAAGTAAGGAATATATCTTTATTGGTACAAAGCCTTTTGGAAAAGTCCAAAGCAAAACAATGAGAGCTTATACTCAAAGTGGACAATATCATACCTAACATGTTTTTTTGTTTTATACTTCATAAAATCAAATCGAACTGATGGACTGTTTCACCAGTTTTTTCAGTTTTTCTCAACTGCTGCTAGGACTTTGATCTAGGGCGTTGGCATGAAAAGGAGATTATAGCAAGGGATTAGAACTCTTCAACTTACCCCACCAATTGGGAGAATTTTTCCAGTCAAAGTTACTTCTCCAGTCATGGCAAGATCCTTTTTGACAGGCTTCTTCATGGCAAGTGACAACAGAGATGTTATCATGGTGCAACCAGCACTTGGCCCGTCCTTGGGCGTTGCTCCAGCAGGAACGTGAAGGTGAAGCTTGGTATTTGCAAAGAAGGGGTTATCTGGTTCTTTTTCGAGCAATATCGCTCGGGAAAGTGTGTGAGCAATTTGTGCACTTTCTTTCATGACATCTCCAAGCTGCCCAGTTATATGAAGCGCCCCTTTCCCATCTCCTTGCTCAACTTGAGTAGTTTCTATGTAGAGAGTGGAGCCTCCCATGGCGGTCCAAGCAAGCCCCATCACAACTCCGACCGGTGTCTGGTCATAAATTCGGTCTGCATGGAAAACTGGTTTCCCCACATAAACAGATAGATTTGACGAGTCAACAAGGACTTTCTCAATTTCATTGGTGACTTCTGATTCATCCTGCAAAAGCCATGAAAAATTCAGGACATGAAATCAGACATGGAGCAAGGACATGACTTCGGTAGCGACATTGCTCAAGATAACTCCAATTCGGTTAGATTCTAGAGTCCAGCTATATTTCACATGAATAATTAACTTATATTTCATAAATACCTTGGCATCCACAGGTTGATTGGGATGTGAATCATCGGCTAGAAGATCACCCGACATCTTCAATTCAGCCTTTTGTTCTTGGCTACTTACTTTGATTAATTCACTATCACTCTGAATTTCACTTCCACTACTGTTTTGACTCGATTCATCTAAGAGTTCGACTTTCTCTTCATTAGATTCAACAACCTCCGCTGGTGCAGGTTCATCTGATGCTCCTTGTCTTACAAGCTGAAGAGCAATCTGCCACATTCCAAATAAAATTATATGGTAAGGTTCCTGCATTTTTATACAATGGCAAGGTTCTTTATACGATCCAGGCAACAGCTCCAAGATGTATCACAGAAAATTCAAACATGTACAATTGGTTTAGCACAGAATATATCTTCTAATGGCTTCTCACAAGATTATTCTAACAGCTGAGTTCTTTCACAAACCTTACGATAGATCTTTTCAATGTGCTTCTGGAGATTTCTGACCCCTGCTTCTCGACAGTAGTTTTCGATGAGACCAAGAAGGGCCGCATCAGTCACTTCGACCTGAAATTAGTTGGAATTATACATTTTCATGGTATCCTCTGGTTATAGGTGCCTCAGAGAGAGAGAGGGAGGAAGAAACAGACCTGTTCAGGTTTAATACCACACGCTTCGCGTGTAGCTTTCTCCAAGTAGTCTCTTGCAATGTGCATCTTCTCATCGGTAATATATCCAGCAATGGCAATGACTTCCATCCTATCGAGAAGAGGATTCGGTATCATTTCAACAACATTCGCCGTGCAGACAAAAAGAACCTGTAATGGACATTTGCAAATGGTAAGCTACTTTTAGTAAACCTTGTACCCCAACTTCACATGCCAACTTCCACTTAACCGAATTCTACAAAATAAATCTTATGGCCGACAGCGAAATTTATCACCTTAACCCACCTTTGAAAGGTCAATTGGAACATCAAGATAATGGTCCAAAAAGTTAGCATTCTGCTCAGGATCAAGAAGCTCCAACAAAGCACTAGCGGGATCTCCAGCATGACCTCCTCTTCCAAGCTTCATGAAGCAAGATACAAGATAAAAAGAATACCAAAATTATCAAGTCTCAGTTAAAAGTGTGTTAAAAGACATGTTTCCCAAAGAATATATCTAATGAACATTAGACTTCATCCGAACAAGGTAATTCAGGTACATTCTTATAATATATGTCTACGTGCACGCGTTGAGAGAGAGATGTGTTTTAGAATCAATCAGGCCATTAGACCTCCAAATACCTTGTCTATCTCATCAATCAGGACAAGAGGATTAGCAGTTCCAACATTTTTTAGACACTGCACCATCTTTCCTGGCATTGCACCAATATAGGTTCGCCGATGACCCTGGATGAAGTTTTGCAGTTAGTGAGTGTACGGGCAATAACTTTACAGATGTACAAAGATACAGGTCCAAGAATAAGCTTAAGTACCTTAATTTCAGCAACATCAGCTAATCCTCCAACTGAAAATCGGAAGAATTTACGATTTAAAGCCCGGGCAATTGAGCGACCAATGCTAGTTTTCCCCACTCCAGGTGGACCAGAGAGACAAATGATTTTTCCTGTCATGTATTAACTCGCTGGTTAACAAATTAAAAATACAATTATTTGTTTCTTTAAGATAAAAAAAGAATAATAGTTTTTTTTAAAAAAAAGAAAGATAAAAACAGTAGCTAGTTGTCATTGATATATGTCACAAACAATTGACCAAGCCTTAATTCAGCATCACCAACTGTCGAGAAATAAAGAACAATAATCAAGCATGATTCTGCCACATCGTTCGCCTGAATATCATCAAATATCTCAAGCGACGATGTTGATTTTATCCATCAAAACATAGTTATCAAGAAAGACATTAGCAAGCCAGCAAAAACATGAAAGAAGAGAGTCAACAGGCATGGAACGAGTACTTCTTTATCATCATAGCACATATTTTTATCCACAATCAGAACACAAAAAGGCACAAAAACCTTGTGAAGTCCCTCTGAGCTTTCCAACAGCAATAAACTCGAGGATTCTTTCCTTGACATCAGTTAATCCATAATGATCTTCATCTAGGATTTTTTGTGCACCGAGGACATCAAAATTCTCATCACTGCAGTTGTATAATGTAAAATAAGTGAAAATTGTCTCAATCTCCATCATTGCATCAGTAATCGTAAGTGTGTACTGCAGGTACAGAAGTTCAAATTCATAAACCTGTAAACTCCCCAAGGAAGTGCAGTCAACCAGTCCAGATAGTTTCGTGTAACATTAAACTCACTCGAACTGGCCTCCAATAGCTGCAGTTTTGTAAGCTCTTCTTCTATGACTTGCGCCACGTGTGGGGGACATTTGTCTTTGTTTGGTTCAAGTCTTTCCCTAAACTTTGCTGCAGCAGAAATAAAATATTAGTATAACTATAATCAACGATAAAAAGATCAATGAAAAGCAAAGCCTAACATCATCCCTCCAGACTGCATCATTGTATTGAAGCTACCAACAAATTACCACCATAACATTTCAAGGATAGGAGTGCATCTGAATTCATAAAATGATTAATTTTTCGAACTTTCGACATACAAACTCATTTGAGAGACTTTATAACCCACTCACATCTAGGGTCATCAACCTCTTGCAGACATCTTCTTAGTGGTTTATTCAATTAAAAACTGAGTTAGTTCACAGGAACTCTCCATGCAATTTATATCAGGTATATATACAAACCAAAATAGAATCCATCGCTCGAAAGTTTTAACATGGGCTCACTGAGAAAAGGCTAACCTGAAAGAGCTGTTTTGTCATCTGTCTCAAGTCCAAGCTCCTGAACATAGACATTCCAATAAAATGTCTCAAGAGTTTGAAACAAGAGGAAAACCTCGCTAGTAACAAGTAGCTAGTAAGTGGACAATATATTAGTGGATCGGTGACCACATGATGAAAGTTGTACAAACCTTTTTAATGGCTTTAAGTTGCTCGTTCAACAAGTAACGACGTTGCTCGCCACTTATTTTCTCCTCAATAGCCTTCGCTATAGATTCCTATTTTAACCATTTAAAGGATAATATCAGCAAGCCTAATCGCCTTCAATATATTAATAGGAGGAATATTTGTGAATCGAATTCAAAATTGTCAGACATATATCCGTCTTTCTATCATTCTTAGCATATTGATAAATAGCACCAAAAAGTGGGAGTTGAAAGAAAATGGATACTTGTGAAACTGTAAAGTTTTTCTGTCCTCATTCTTGTGTAAAGAGAATCGCATAGATTGGGACTGGAGCCACTAGGCTCAGAGTATGCTATTCTTTTAGACAACCTCAGTCATTAGGAATTAAAACATATTCATGTAGAATCTATTTTAATTATAATGAAAATTAAAACCTCTACATTCATTTTCACATAGCAATAGACTAGTCTTATAAATTGTTCAAGATGTGAAATATCAAGAAAACTTTCACAACATACCTGAATCTTGTTTATTTCCATCTCCTTCTTCAATAACTCAAGTGTAAGTTTTAATCGTTTATACACCTAAATCAGAGGAAGAAAAAGAGTAAGAAACAAATAGAACCAACGAAAGAAGCTGCAATGTCGATCAATGCTAGAATGCAACAAGTTAAATCTATGACAATCATATCTATTAAGACTTTTTTTTTTTTTTGTCTTAAAAATGTATAAAAATCTATCTTCCCAGGGATGTCGCACAACCCAATGTATCTACCAAGAGTTTTAGAGTCTCAAAATATCTTCTTACGTCTAATTCTTCAAGCACCTCCTGGCATTGTAATTTATTTGCTCCAGATATTGCTGCCCCAAAATCTGCTAATCTTGGAAAATTGAAATCGCCAATATGCTGCACCACAGAAAAAAAGAAGAATAAAAAAAAGTATCCTGAACAATCACACATTACATATGACTAACCCTTGAAATGTAAATGGCGTCTGTCAAATATCTACTTACATCTAACTGTTCAAGTACGCTTGGATTATTTTTCATGTTTGGGATTTTTTCTTCTTTTTTTTTTTTTCTTTGATTTTCTTTGTTTTTTTTTCCCTTTGTTTCTTTTCTTTCTTTTCTGTGGAGGGGGTACCTGGGTGTATGTTTGAACATGATCCCTCCATAGGGAACTGGTCTTTAAAACATCCCTTAGGGTAGATATAACCTCAAATGAAGTTGCCTTTATAACATCATCATCCTTGTTATAAGGTTTATCCTGTAGAAAGTGCAATAAAAATTAGCAACACAGAATGAGAAAATCCATTCTCAAAGGAAACCTCAAAAAATGATTCGAATGAGAAATGTAGAACCACATGCCTTGAGATGATCAACTTTCACAGTTAGGGGCTCCTCGCTAACCTATACAGAAATCGTAAGTACGGTCATTTTCCAGCTCTGTAATTCGCACAATCAAATAAAAGCCTAATACATAAACATTAAGACAATATATATTAAGGCGCAATCTAAGTAGCTTTTAGGGTCATATAACAAATGGCAAGGGAAGAGAAAGGCAGACTGCCTATTTCTTATGCTATTCCTATATCCTATGTCTGAAATTATTCCTAGATCCTATTACCATCTCTGTAATTCGGAGTCTCCTGTGACCAATAAGCACCACCTGGTCTCCTTGGATACTTGAAATCTGAAATGGAAATAAAGAGCACATAGAATCAACCCCACTAAGAGCAAAAACGTTAGTGCTTGATACTGCTAAAGAAAAAGGGCAAAAATTAACACAATACCTGGGCAAGGGTGCCAACTTCATGAAGCCTATCATATAATTCTTTACCTTTCAAATCACTTATATTCTTTTCTGTCTCCGTTCCAGATACTAAACTAGGATCAGTTCCTGGTTCATCCTTAAGAAGGAAGGTACCTGCATACGGAGCTTGCCTTCTTCTGCTTTCTTGCAGAGCGGCCAATAGTTTAGGATCCTGCAATATATCACACATCTCAAATCCCTTCCCCATAAACAAGTCAATGCCTCCAATATATTGGTTCAACGAGCAACATAAGAATTGACGCACAATTCAAATGTAAACAGCATGATACCAACGTCACCAAGGAGAACAAAAGACCAAGATACATGAAAGCACTTCAACTTAAATGACAAGGCAATGTAGTCCAAGCGTGTCGAGAACATATGATACCTTCACATAAATTGGCATGTAGAATCCAGGAAATAATGGCCTGTGTGGCAATGGCAGCGCCAAAACCTGTCCAAGGAATCAACAACAGAACTATTTATCTTTATTGTCAAGAAATATTTGGGATTAGTCAAATTAAGAATCAAACCGAACTAATCCAAGTATGAAACTTTTATAGGAGGAGATACGAAATGGACGGTTTCACCATAATCCTACTACAATATCTAACTTGGTCTAGTTCAACCTCCCAAACTCAAATATGTCATAATGATGAAGTATTATCCTTCTTTTGTTCTTCTGTTCTTTCTCTTCAACCCTTCAGCCAAGTTAACTAAATTAAGATACCAAATTCAATCCTCGAAGTGCTCAACAATGTAGGGAGAAAGGAACATTCAATCTCTTTTTCCCTAGCATTTCTCATCCACACGTCGAGTAAAAATCAAAACTCAATACCAACCGTCATATAGTCCTCCGGCCGAGGATTCGTCGGAATGATAGCAGACGTAGATTTCGACTCAGCATCCTCCGCCCCTGCCTCCTCCACCTTAGCGTCGATTTCAACCACCGGTTGCGACCCATCACTGGCATCGGAGCAAAAAAACGCCCGACCACTCAACCTCGTGTTTCTCCCACCCAACCCTCTGAGAGACCCAAGAACCCTAACCAGAGGCGATTCCGATTCGGCTGCCGGCCGGAGACTCGGAGCCAGGTTGTGGAACCGGCTCCGAAAGCATGAGGAGTTCACAACCTTCAACATTGACTGGGAATCGAAAAACTACGTAATTTCTTAATGGAATTCTTGAAGGAGTTTCAGTGATTTCGCTAATTCGGATGGTGGTTCTGATCCACAACCGCCATTGACGAGGAAGAGCTTGGCCGAAAAGAAAACCCAACCTGAAGTAGGTTGGTCGTGCTAAAAACCCTTCGTAAACCCTCAATTAGTGTGTGGTTTTACCAAAATACCCCTATTCGATGTTGAATTGAATTACTTATCGCTCCATCATCACTTCAAAATCCTTCTAAATCAGACGGTTATAAAAGTAAATTGGTAATTATTTTAATGCAAATTTAGTCCTATAATTTTTTTAAAAAATTAGATTTTAGTACCTATAATTTTTAAAAATTATTATGCTTTAATAAACCTTTATATATAATTTTATAGTTTGATTTAATAAACCTTTATATATAATTTTATAGTTTGATAAAAAAAATTATAGACAATCTTTACTAAATTCTAATATTTAAAATAGTAAAAATTAAATTTTAACTTTCACCCATTTTGAAACTTAACCTAAATGTTATTATCTTAATAGAAGTTTTAGATTTCATGATTTATATCACACGTTGCCCCCTATGAATTAGTTCCAAGAAAGCGGTCGTTCATGTCAGAAATTTCGGTTTTTAATGTAGTTGCAATAAGTTTCCTTTTTCTCATCGAGATTATTGGGTTGGTGTTCAGTGTTAGTACCTGAGTGAGAGTAGCCAAAGGGAACAGCCGACCAGTGGGAGCAAGAAATCTGGGATTCGAGTCACGTTTACGAGAAATGTTCTAGAAAACGTGAGAGAGGGAGAGATTTTTTAGAGAGAGTTTAAAAGCGAGAAGAAAAAAAGAAAAAAACCACAGCTTAAATATCTTATAACTCGAGTAGAAACAGTAGACATGATTTTGGTTTTGGTAAATAGTCATCTATCGCATATTACATATTCAAATCTTTGACTTTTTAGTCAAACATGTATGTGTTAACTAGTTGAGTTATGCACAAATTGGTTATACATTAAATAAAAATAATAATGTAATCCTATACATTTTTTCATGGTTTTCTTTAAAGAGACTCGAACCTCGATCAGGAGATAGGGAGGATTCGACAGAAGTACGAAATTCCGATTGTTCAGAGAATCAAATCAGTACTAGAAAAGGTAGGTGTCGAAATCGACCCAGGGGAAAGAACTGAACACATTTCCAATACCATTATCCTTTTTGCAATGATGCCGACGAAAAGTTGTTCACTTTTCGAGGTCTCGAAGGGCGACCTGAGTGCTTATAACCTTTATGGAGAGGCCAAGGGCATTGATAGGGAAATACACGCACTTGTACTCGTTTCAGATGCGATCAAAAAGCCTTCTTTTAAAAGCTTCCGAGATCGATATAGCCCTCTCAAAACCTAGCTAGTTTTTCCTTTTTTTTTTTTTTCTTAGAACCAATAGACATAAATCACCTAAAAGTCAACCAATATGCAAGATTACAAAACTACAAAAGCTGCATAAACTCATAATCCCCTACAATACATTAATTTCTCAGATCTAAACAAATGCTACATATAATTTTCAGCTCATCAACCTTTGTTCATAACAAAACTCATGATGCTACACCTCTTTAAGCCTCAAATCCTTCCCTTCCTTTCAGATTTCATAGCAAACTTTTAAACTGTTCTTCCCCTTTCTCTAACAGTGTCTGCCCTGAATCAAGGACTTCCTCCTTTGCTCATTTTCTCTTGTTTCCATGTAGCCTGGCCGCATTTAACTAGCATATGAGTCAACAACAGAGTGATATTAGACATAAAGCCAAGATTAGAACAACAAAGTTCTTTACAGACAATAACACAATTTGTTGCAACGGAACGACGGCCTCCGCTGATAACAATAAATAATGTCTCGATACGGTCGTACGAGCAAAAACTATCTATTGATGAAGTAAATAGCCTATGATCAATCTTACTTGACCGTGCTGCAGATAGTCAGAAGGATTCAAGCATAAAAACTAAGGTTGAGAGAATAGACCAAATCAAAGTCTCTTTTGTTTAGTATCGATATGGTTGTACAAGCAAAAACTATCTACCGATGAAGTAAATAGCCTATGATCAATCTTATATGACCGTGTTGTAGATAGTCAGTAGGATTCGAGCACAAAAAAGAAGGTTGAGAGAATAGGCCAAATCAAAGTCTATTTCGTTTAGTATCAACATGGTCGTACGAGCAAAAACTATCTATTGATGAAGTAAATGGCCTATGCTCAATCTTATTCGACCGTGCTGCAGATAGTCACAAGGATTCAAGCATAATAAAGAAAGGTTGAGAGAGAGACCAAATCAAAGTTGAACCTCACAAGCAAGTTCTTCCTTTCTGCATAACTATACGGTAATGCCTTCGAAAAACGGACTCATTCGATGAAAAAGGTGCGAGGAACTGTACGAGGTTTCAGATGAAAGCAGAAATACCATGGAGTTAATACAAGGAGGTGACTTTGTTCCTCATTCGGATGCAGTTGAAAAGTAAGATTCCATCAATGAAACGAAATCGGTAGAACAAAGCAATGTTTCAATAATGCTTGGATCATATCACGTAGTGAGCAAAATATAAGAAATATCATACAAAGTTGTTTTTTTCATTCATCTAGTCATGCAGGTAGCTACGTCTCTTGTAATTCGAGACGAGTCATAAACCGTAATCGTAAGACTAATATAATTTCCTTCACAACAAGATAACTACAAGAGGATGACAGATACAGTTAGCGAGCGCCTATGATGACTTTCATATAAATCAGTTTCAACAAGACAAAATACGATCGCATTATACGATCAGGCTTACTATGTCATACGTCGTGGTAAACAGTTTTAACTAATAAAAGAGAACAAAAATTGCACTCAAATTTTATATGGCAGAATAAAACTGAAGGATCTTACCTTTTCAAAACTTGTTGCCGACTCTAACGAGATCCATAAATTGGCAAAAATAACCACTCCCCTCCAGTCGAAACCATTTCCGAAGCCAAGACAATAGCCCGTTAAGTCTCCTCCTCGCTGTCCTCTTCATAGTCAGAATCCGATTCATCATACCGGGGTTGTGTAAGAGAACTCATATCGAACGTTGGTGCAGTTTCCATCTCCTCCATATCTATGGTGTCGTAGGTCATCCTTTCAGCGAACTTTTCATCGGAACAATTGAGGAGCCATGAAAGAGAACAGGTAACTCCCTTCTGTACAACCTTCCTATGTCTAGGCTTTATTGTGGACTCCAGACCATACGTAAAGAACGCAGGAAAAGCGACCAGATCGTCTAAAGGCCTTCCCATCTCCTTTTGGAAGAACTGAAAGCTGTGTTTCATTATGTCAAGATTCAATGCAAGCAACTGGGGACAACCTATAACCATGTTCTTTACTTGCTGCAAGGAAAACCCACAACTTTTTAAGCAATCGACATGGCTGTTCACAGCTGAACTGCTAAGGCTAACAACTTGTGGCATCTTTTCAATTATAGTGCCGAAGTTATCGTTATCCAATTCGATTATTGATTTTAGTAAGTTCCTTTGACTTGGAAGCTTAGTCTCAAGGTCCATTCCTATGATCTCGGCATACTGTGCAACTATAGAAGAAAGATATGCTTCTCTCACATTAAACTCCAAGAGCAATTGGATGTTGGGTTTGACCCTTTTTTCCAATCCGAACCCGAGAATATGTGGTCGTTTCTCTATTAACCTAGCCACGGCTAATCTTGGAATTCCCAAACTTTCAAGATATTCTACGAAAGGCTTGATTACCCGAGCAACCCTCATTCCCAAAATTTCAGGGTACTTGGTTAAAACCCCTCCGATTTCTCTTCTTGCCACTCCGATTCCTACCAAGTATGCCACTGAAGTGCTCATGGTTCCCTCGAGCTTAAACCCCAATACTTCTGGATATCTCTCAAGAACGCGCGGGATATCACTTGGTTTAATATCCATGCCCTGAAGATATTTGACTACTGGACCAAGGTCCACAACGACGCTGGAATGGAGGACTTGCGGATACCTTCTTAAAAACTCGGTGAAAGTAGATTTCCTAACACCCAATTTACCAAGGTAATCAAGTACTGGTACCATATTTTTCTTAACACTGCAGCCAAGAACAAGGGGGTAGTTATTTATATCTTCAATGGTAAGTCCTAGTTTGAGAAGAAAATCGACACGTTCCTTCATAACATCAACTGTTACTGGAAGCTCCAATCCATCAAGTTCATCAGGAACAATACCAATTCCACGCAAGAACTCGTAAACCTTTGCACGATTTTCCTGTCTCACATTCTTCATTTCCACTAAGCTAGGGCGACTATATAACGATGAAGCACTTCCCTCTTTTCTACCCACTTTAGAACTGTAAGGCTTTGATGTAATAGTAGAATGCAGTGATTTGGATACTGTTCTCCAATCACCACGAGAGTACTGTAACTTTGTAATCAAACCCCTCCTTTTCTCATGGTTAGGAGACGTTTGAAAAGTTGATGTCGTATCAAATTTGAATTTGTGACATTTAAGGGTAGGCATCTCGAGTAACATGATGGAAAAATTAGGTTTTACCACACCAGTATGGCCTCTGATCATCATAACTCCAGGTTTTGCACCCTGCACCTGGAAAAACTGCGTATATGTTACAATTTAAAAAATAATAATAATAAAATAAGAAAAATAAATATATCCACGAATAACAAAATACTGTACCAGATGGATTAACTCGACCTCTACTTACAGGATAACACTACAATACTAAAGTTCACTAAAAATTTGATTTAGATTACCTACTAGTTCACGTATTGACGATCCATATCCACTTCCAAAGTACTACATAGTCCAGAATTTCTAAACATTTGAATCAGCATCAAATTATATTCAAAACTTTAAAAGAAAAACGAGGAAGAACCAAAATGAGAGAGAGAGAGCCATATCAACTGGTTCATTTAAATAGAGGAAGTCTCTCCATTGCAAACTGAAAAGAGTTTCCTCCTCGCTGTTTGAGACAAAGCACTCTCCTAAACAAACCTCGCCAGGGTCTATCCCCTTGCAGATGAAGGAGAAGTAACCCCTCCTCGGTTTTCTGCAAATGTAGGGCAGACTCAGAATCCTACGGAAATTTTTGGTACGTTTACTCCTTTAATCTTAGATAGGTTTCCTTTTGAAGTAATGAACTTGGTTTATCTTATACTCAAATGAACTTTTACTGAGGATTCAATATTACCATATGGATCATCTCAGATAATTTGGTCAACAATTGACATGAGCACGAAAAAGTTATCGATACTTCTTTATCTTTTAAGTTGTTCAAGGCCTCTAAGTTTATAATCATATAATGTTCGTGTTGAACTAATGGGCGTGTAAGGTAGGTTAGTATTACACAACTTACAACGAAAGCATTGTGAATCTCATTCGTATTCATTCTTTTTTGTGAGATCTCAAATCGGTTGGAGAGGGGAACGAAGCATTTCTTATAAGGGTGTGGAAACCTCTCCCTAGTAGACGCATTTTAAAACTTTGAGGGAAAGCCCAAAGAGGATATCTGCTACCGGTAGGCTTGGGCAGTTAGATTTTTACTGATTGTGATGTGGTTTTACCTTCCTTATGGAGTGAAAGGGCTAAGGGAAAAGGGTTGGCATGAAATAGGCATTGAGTGGAACGAAATTAACTAGGTGGTAGAGTTGTGAAAACATCATTTAGTTTTCAATACCGACTCTTCCAATCTTCCAACCGTTCAGACATCCATCCCCTATGCACTTATAGCAGTAAGCTCAAAATATATATACATATATATATCAAGGAGTTGCTAGCTTCCCAGAGATAGTAATGCTACATACAAGATCACAACAATTTGCAGATGCACAAACTTACAGAAACACATAATTAAGCATAAGACAACCCTAGAAAAACAACAAATTATCAACGTATGGAGTCCAGTTCCTAAAAATTCGCATAGAAACATCCCAATTTCAGTCAAACCCACAAAAACTCAGAGAATAAAACATCCAAACTTCCATTTCCACAAAAATTAAAAGATGTTCCACATGTAAAATTTAGTACGAAAACTAATTTACCTTAGATTTCTATGATCAGACTAAGTCGAGTAAGAGCTTGAAGGCCTGCGATGGCGGAATGTGAGAAGCCAATGAACCGAGAGGTGAGCACGTGGATTTCTCAGCTGCAGTGAAGTGAAGCAGAGCAAGGAATCGCCATGGAAGCGAAGATAAGTAAAGCTGTAGAATATAAGCAGCCCGCTGGAGATGGAGAGGGTGGGCGGATAGGGTTATTTTTCAAAACATTGTAATTTGGAAATTTGTGCCTTTGTAAATATCTAATTTTGTAATTTAAATAAATCTAAAAATTAATTTCCATTTTATTATTAAAAAATTAAATTAAATTATAGTCTTTTATTATTTTTTCATGTAATTTTTTTTAACATATTCTTAAAAATTATATAATTTAACCAATTCCATTAAAAATTAACGTAAAAGAATTTAAAAATTCGGAAGTATTGAAATTAAAATGTATTTTAATAAATCCAATTTTATTTTAGTTTTAATTAAAAACATATATAAAAAAATTAACGTTTTAATTAATTTTTTTTGTGTGGTTAGATCTCTACCATTATATTTACTGTCTCGTTCTTTCTCAATAATTTTAGTGTTGGAATTAAACGCTCGTGTCTTGTTCATTACTATGATCAGGTGGACCATCTTATTCTTCGATATAATAACGCACACGTGAGTATTGCATGACATTTCCCATATTATAACATTTACCCAGCCCTATTTATATTTTAATTTTTAGGCTAAATTCTAAAAAAAAACACCAGATTTTCAGTAATATTAGCTTGACTTGAATTGCACCGCTCCGATCCTCATCCTTCTATCGAGGAGTGTCACGGTTTGAATCAGTGCCAAAATCTGTCCCACTAACCTAGTCAATCTCTCGGGTGAAATGTCTGAGTTGACATGTATATTTCGAAATCTTTTCATCGATTGTTCCACAACCTAGTCAATTTTGAAAAAACCTATTACTGAATCTAAAGAGTTAATCTAATGAGCACGCGAGAGGGGCGGGGCAGGACTCACGCGCGTGGGCGGGGCAGGGCGCGTGCGGGGGAACACGCGGGTGAGGCAAGGCTCACGCGTGGGGGAGGAGCACGCAAGCGGGGTGGCACGGGGCACGCGCACGGGAATGTTTCGACACCGCCCCACCGTGCGCGTTTTCGCCACCGCACCGCCGCCGTCTACTACCCTCGACCTCCGGGTGCAAACCCTCATAAAGAATTCAATGTTTATATATATATATATATATCCAAATGTTTGAGACATGTAGATTATTATTATTTTTAAACAGTAGTGTAATAAAATTTTTAATTATTTTAAATGTTGAGAATTGCCTTTTATTTATTTATTTATTTATTATTATTATTATTATTAATTTAGCCAAACCTTAATTTTTCCTTTGTCGAGGAAAATTCTACGTGAAAAACATGAACGGTATGATCAGCTTCGGGCCGATAATTTTCACGGCGAAATTTGGTCGGAGATACAAGTTTTCAACAACGCATCTGCCGTTCTGCACTTACAATTCAACCTATACGGCTCCCACATCGAACGATTTCGATCCACAAATCATCTCAGACCTAATTTCCCGGCAACAATGGTCGAACCTTAAATCCCATTTCAAATTCAAAACTCCGATCGATTTTCTTCACGAGTTGCTCGGTTCGGGAGCCGTCGATCCGTTGCTTGTACTCAGGTACTTCAAATGGTCTCAGAAAGAGCTTAAAGTTAATTACAACATTGAACTCTTTTGCAGACTCTTAAATTTGTTAGCCAATGCCAAATATTACCCCAAAATGCGTTCGTTTCTTGACTCTTTTGTAAAGCGTGAAACAAATTGCACGATTTCTTTGATTTTTCATACGCTTTCGGTTTGTGGCGATCAATTTTGTGCTAATTCGATAATTGCTGATATGTTGGTGTTGGCTTATGTGAAAAATTCGAAAACGGCTTTGGGATTGGAGGCGTTTAAGCGAGCTGGTGATTATGGATATAAGTTATCTGTGTTATCTTGTAACCCATTGTTGAATGCTCTGGTGAAGGAGAATGAATTTGGGGATGTAGAATTTGTGTATAAAGAAATGATTAGGAGGAAATTTAGCCCTAATTTGTTTACATTTAATATTGTGATTCATGGATTGTGTAAGATAGGGAGATTGAACAAAGCTGGTGATGTTCTTGATGATATGAAAATTTGGGGGTTCTTGCCCAATGTGGTTACTTATAACACTCTCATTGATGGGTACTGTAAAGTGGGCAGGGTAGGGAAGATGTTCAAAGCTGATGCTATTTTGAAGGAAATGGTGGCAAATAATGTTAGCCCTAATGATGTTACTTTTAATATATTGATTGATGGGTTCTGTAAAGATGAGAACGCATCGGCTGCGATGAAGGTGTTCGATGAAATGCAGAGTCAGGGTGTGAAGCCAACTGTTGTAACATATAATTCATTGATTAATGGTTTGTGCAATGAAGGGAAACTGAATGAGGCAAGAGTTTTGCTCGATGAAATGTCGAGTTTGAACTTGAAGCCGAATGTCGTTACTTATAATGCTCTGATTAATGGGTATTGTAAGAAGAAATTGTTGGAGGAAGCTCGGGATTTGTTTGATGATATTGGAAAACAAGGGTTGGATCCTAATGTTATAACATTCAATACTTTAGTTGATGGATATTGTAAGTGTGGGAAGATGAACGAAGCATTTCTGGTCCGAAGCTTAATGTTCGAGAAGGGATTTCTCCCGAATGTTTCGACCTACAATTGTCTTATCACTGGTTTTTGTAGGGAGGGAAAGATGGAGGAAGCGAAGAATCTTTTGAACGAAATGGAAGGTAGAGGTTTGAAAGCTGATACGATCACGTATAATATTTTGATTAGTGCATGGTGTGAGAAAGGGGAGTCGAAAAAGGCAGCACGACTCATCGATGAGATGCTCGACAGGGGATTACAACCAAGTCATTTGACGTTTAACATTTTGTTGAATGGATATTGTACAGAAGGAAACTTAAGGGCTGCTTTGAATGTAAGGAAACAAATGGAGAAAGAAGGAAGGTGGGCTAACGTGGTGACGTATAACGTGTTGATTCGAGGTTATTGTAGAAAGGGGAAGATGGAAGATGCAAATGGACTTCTTAACGAGATGCTCGAGAAGGGATTGATACCTAACCGAACTACTTACGAGATAGTTAGAGAGGAAATGATGGAGAAAGGATTTCTACCTGATATCGAAGGTCATCTTTATCAAGTCTCCCGTTAGATGTTAATCAACAACGTTGCAACTTTACGGGTGGAACGAGATGTACAAACTCATATGTCGCTGATCAGGCCGGCATGATCGGAGCAAGAGGGCGTTAACAAGGTAACTAATATATCCTTAATCTATACCATTTGAGAGCTTGTCAATTCTTGAGCTGGTTCTGATATTCCTTCTCCATTGTTTACATTCTGATGCTTCATGGGCACAATAGCATTGTTTACCTTACCTTCCACACGATTTTATGTCACTGTTTTGATTATTGTATGTTGTTTTTTTGGTCGTCGTTGCAGCCCGATTTGCGATGAATATCTGCATTCATTGGTTCGTTTTCTTGCATTTCGATGCACTCTGGTTTTACTTTAAGATCAGACCTTGTAATGGTGCTGAAAAACATTCATTTCGTGTCTTATACCGAGCGACCTTCACTTCGCATCCAATGATGGTGACTTGACTATTTAAGCTCTATGCTACTCGTTCGACTCGTTGCAGAAGAAAGCAGCAACTTTGAGAAACAGGATACAAATATGCTGCAATCTCGACTTGATCACAAACACTTATCTCCTTATTTGTGTCGTCGTTAGCTCGTTTAGACCTTCATTTGGTTGTTGATGTTCGAGTCAGAAGCAATTTGTATATCATCCACAATATGCCATTGGCAGACCTTGAATTTTTATGCGATCGTTACTACGAGAGGGTCGGTCAATAGCTAGTCTCTTTCGTTCTCGGGTTTCTTTTTCGTCCCGAACTTTTCAAGTTTGGAAGGTTTGAAAGTTTTGAGTGAAAATTCCTCGTAGGTTTTATGCTACTTTGCATGTTATAGAAGCAAGCTGATTCTGAATCTAAAGATATCACTTTATTCCAACTCTGCAAATTTGGAAAGATTGGTCATCATTTGGTAATAATTATATTTTATTTATTTCTTTTTTCCTTTCAAATTATCTATATATATATATATATATATATATATATATATATATATATAATTTTAAGGGTATTTTTATTAAAAAATTTTAAAGTTTCATATGAAATTCTGACCATCTATCTATAAGAGAAAAAAAAGAAAGAATAGATCTTGTAGGATTCTCGAGAAATTGTTCGATTTCTTCTGGAAGTGGATGATTATTCATATGCTTCTCACGTTTCGTGAATAGCCGAGACATTCATATTCTATCTCTGTTCGTTCCGTTTGAAGAAAGGAAGGATGATATTCTAAATCCTTGTTACTAATGGAATCAAAATGATCTCGGGATTGATAAGAAAATCCTTTCAATTAAGAAGCGAATGATTATTCATTTGCTTCTCACGTTCCGTGAATAGCCGAGACATTTCAGTAATATCCAGAAAAAGCATTTAAGGAATCGGTTTGATTCTATCTCTGTTCGTTCCATTTGAAGAAAGGAAGGATGATATTCCAAATCCTCGTTACTAATGGAATCAAAATGATCTCGAGATTGATCAGAAAATCTTTTCAATTAAGAAGCGGATGATTATTCATCTGCTTCTCATGTTCCGTGAATAGCCGAGACATTCAAGAATATACAGAAAAGCATTTAGGGAATCAGACTGATTCTATCTCTGTTCGTTCCGTTTGAAGAAAGGAAGGATGATATTCCGAATCCTCGTTACTAATGGAATCAAAATGATCTCGGGATTGATCAGAAGATCCTTTCAATTTGTTCGAATAAATATTTTTTAGAGAATTTTTCAAATTAGGAGTATTTTATTAATTTAACGGAGTATTTATAGTGATTTAAAATAATAATTAAAAAAAAAAACAAAATTTCCAACAAATTAATTAAAACAAAATCCAACGGGCAACGGGTCAAAGAAGCAAATCACACTTGGCTTTAATCCGAGTCTTTAACACTTCCATCTTCGGAAGCTTCTTTCATTTCTTATGTCTCTTCCATATGTTTGAGATTTCCTTGCCAAATTCGCATCAAATTACCATTTTCTTTCCGAGA